TTCGTTTGTTTTAGGATCATACAGGTAAACCACGTGATATATCCCAAAAGATGATGAATCCATTTAGCTTCAATAAGATAGAATGTGACGTATCTTCAATGCTGTAAAAAGTGTAACAGTTTTTGATTATGATATCACAACTAAATTAACAGATTTTACAACTTTTAAATGAAGAAATTCATGAAAGAATGTCTAATTAATCTGTCTCAATGGCGTTTCAACCCTAAAATTACAGAAATTATGAAAATTCTTCAAAAGGTGTTTTTCGAGGTAATGTATTACATATTTTGCTTTAAAAAATAACATAAACGTGCATTATTTGCTTTGCAATTTTACAAACATGAATAGAAATGTTCAAACTTTTATACTTCCCAATCTTCATGATATTTGGTTCATTTCTGCTCTTTCAAATACAATGTATGTGATTGTCCCATTTTTATTTGCCCAACCTGTATATTTAATGTTGTTCACGCACCATTCTCAACACGCCGTCGCACAACCGGCAGTCTACGGCGTGACTCTTGGACCCAAGTTTTTAGGTACTCATTTATCTCGACGTAATGACAGAATATGAACCTGTTTTCATCATTGAAACATCACAAAGGCAAAAGTTGGGTGCTTTGGAAATACTTCTCTCAAAGTTCTTAAACGCTGTATCTTTAAGAATCAAGTCCAACTAAGTGAATGAAATGGGCAAAAGTGGGGTGTTTGAAATGTAGTAAAGTATTTTTTTCATTTCAATTAATTTTTTGTTATATATCGACACTGATGATTATTTTATTCCATTTATCTTGGACACTGAAGTATCTGAATGGTGCATAATGAGTTTATGATAATTAAGTCACTATTACACGATGATTTAACTCAAGAAGTAGAAGGATGTGTGATAAATTCTGTTAGGCAGTGACACTCGAGGCAGCTCTGCGAAGTCGATGTTTCTATAAAGAGGAAAGGCTCATATTCTGTCAAAACGTCGAAAGAAAGAAATGTGTACAAATCTGGCTCCCAATTCACGTCGTAGTTTTCCGGTTGTACGACTTGTTGTGAATGGGGCGTGTTGTTCTAATACGCTGGGGTACTTAAATTAGTCTTCATATTTACTGTTTTCTCCTGAAACCCCAATAACTAAAAAATCCAAACGTTTTGCCTTTAAATTTAGAAATTTCCTAATATTAATCTCTAATTGAGGTATTTCTCAATATTGTGAGTTTAACTCTGGCGTTAAGTATTTAACACTGACATTGAGCAACATTCAATGCATTGAAACGTCATCAAATGGTTCATAAATCAGACATTGTCTTTAGGGAATTTGTAAATTACTTTCTAAAATGTAGTTTTAACGAAATACAAGATTGATATTTTGAAAAATGGCTTTCATCATTTGCAATTTACAATATGCTATCTCTACTATTTCAAAAAAAGATCAACTGCTAAAAATTATTAAATCTTCTAACAGTGTGCATATGTCAAATGTCATCTAAAACTATAAATAGTTTTTGTATCCATCTGAAATTGAAAACTGATTTGATGACCTTAAACATTCTACATACTATTTTCCTGACCATTTTGGTTTTCTGAAAATATATAAGATATGAAATGAAAATCTTTGCAAGGGCGAGATTTCGTCAAATAAAATTTTAGAAATAGTCAATGTCAACATTACATTTTTAAGTTCAAGTTCTTTAAGTAGATGCTCATCTTACCGATCGTTAAATTAAACGTATTGCTTTTTGTGTCTTTAATGGTTTTTGTTGTTCATGATTTGTGTTTTGTAATAGTTTATTTATTTTCTTCTGGATTTATTAATATTTGACGCATTGACATAATTGCCATCATTCATATATGGTAAATGTTCAAAATCGTTTCGATTCCCTGAACGACTAATAGTAACTGTTTATATGTTTTATAGCGTTTATAACGTTTACAGCTTAGAAACCATATCATATATTTAAAATCATTTTGTATTATTTTCTGTTGCATTGTGTACTCCGAATTGGGAAAAATTTGGGATTTTATTTTTTGGTAGCTTTTTGACCTCTGTTAATGGCAGGCATAATTCAGCCTAAAAGCCGGGAGTATATGAAACGGTAATAATAAGAATTATTAGGGAACATATGTAGGTATGTTCATGTAAGGTCAAATATCGCTGCGCTATAGTGTGCTACCAGCTCCTTTATTAGACATCTCATACCATGGACTATTTGTCGAATGAAAACACATCTTGATTTTTGCCGTTTATGTACAACTTACATATAATAAGCATCGATTGATATTTGGTTACTTTAATATGCTGCTAGGCAGTTTATAGTCATTTGAACAGTTTCCTCCCTAAAGTTAGCTACCTGATCAGTCACTTGGTAAATAAATAAGTGCATTTATGACAAAGCCTTGGTGTATGTTAGGTAAATAAATAACATATTTAGGTTAAAATACTCTGTTATTACCTAGCTAAAACAAAGAGAATTGGTAATCATCGATTTATTCATTAATATTCGTAATAATGTGATTTCTACTCAGAGCCCCCTGTTCTATACAAGTAGTATTACACACTTTTACCTTTTATCCAGGAATCTACAGTTGTGTGAAGATTTTAATGATATAGTTTAACGTAAACTGTTTCATGCAGATTATACAGATATGTGGTTTATGCCAACAATGACACGTCCATTTACAACTACATTCTTGCCTACGAGAGGTACAACTACAACTACCATGTCACCATCACACCTTATATCTCAAGTTCTGAAAGAACCAACACCCATCAGAAAATCCTTTCCTGAGACTTGGATATGGACGTCGACCTCAACTGGGTATCTCCATTGTTAATTGATATGCATACGTGAACCCAACTGAAAATTGTTCTGCATGTTGTCAATCCAATATGGTTGACTCTTTCCTTATCTTTGGCATTTTGGTAAAGGTTTTTGTTCATAATGCTCATTGGGTTCTGCTATCTGTGCTGTCGTTTTTATTTACATTCTGTCACAAACGCAAATTTGCAATTTTATGATTTGGATGCAATAATAATTTCTTATCACCCTTCAGCATCAAGATAAAGCATGTCATGTGTCTGTTAAAATGGTTCTAACCATATAACTATAGTAGCGTTATTTAGATGCAGATAGTTGCATAATATGCATATTCCATTTACATCGTCCTGTTAGAATATTGAAAATGAACAAAGACCCCAGGCTCCGTATTTGTTGCACTGGTTCATTGACTTTTGTAATTCATATGGTTTTGCAAATTATCTTAATCACCAGGAATATTTATTGTCCTAAATCTGAAAATCTAAAAATTTACGTGTTTCGTACTATTATGCTCTAACATATTTTATGAATCATACATTGATTTATTCCATTCATGTCTATATAAAATTTCTCCGCCATAAAATATATTACTTAGTTTAGTTTCATAATTCAATTTATGAAAAACTATGGTTCTCAATTAGTTCTCATAAATGTTAGCTTGGATTTCACTTAATACACATGGGCATGCGAATCAGATCAAATCAATAATTTGTAGTTCCCTCATTTGTATTGTTAGCTCATAATGGTGAGCTATTGCAATCACTCACTTTGTCTGTCTGTCTGTCTGTCCGTCCGTCCGTCCGTCTGGCCCGTTTGAAAACCTCTGTCCATAAGATTCCCGTTTTAAGTTATTTTTGTTCAACATCAATATAGAAAACCCCCCTATGACTCCTTGTTCAAAAGCTCGCCTATTTTCAAAATTGCCGCCATTTTTGTCTCGCGAAATTCACTATTGGACAATTTGCTTTAAAAGCTGTGTCGATAGGATTCCCGTTTTAAGTTATTTTTGTTCAACATCAATACAGAAAACTCCCATATGACTCCTGGTTCAAAAGCTTGCCTATTTTCAAAATGGTAGCCATTTTTGTCTCGCGAAATTCACATCTGGCCCATTTTCAAAATGGTCGCCATTTTTGTTTCGCGAAATTCACCTTTGGCCCATTTCTTAGCTTTACAAATAATTTCAGGTGTCCTGCATTATAAAAAGCCATATCACTGTAAAGAGTAGTTGTATGAAATAAATTTGTTACAAAAATAGGCATTTAAGTTATATCCGTTGTTTTTTCAGCTATTTAAGTTAATATTGATTTGTCCATCTGTCTCGGGAAATCCACTTTTGGACCATTTGCCTTAAAACCTCTGTCGATAGGATTCCCGTTTTAAGTTATTTTTGTTCAACACTCGCCTATTTTCAAAATGGTCGCCATTTTTGTCTCGCGAAATTCACATCTGGCCCATTTTCTAGCTTTGCAAATGATTTTAGGTGTCCTGCATTGTAAAAAGCCATGTCACTGTAAAAGGTAGTTGTATGATATACTTTTGTTTCAAAAATCGGCAATAAGTTATATCCGTTTTTTATTTTCTCCCATTTTAACCACCATTCACTTTTGAGCAACACAATGTGAGCCCAGTACCCACGGTACTATTATCGCCATCTTAAGTATATGAAGGACCAATTAATTCCAGATAACATCGATGGCATAGGGATTAAAACCAGCTATAGTTGTTATAAAAAATCGGCAATAAGTTATATCCGTTTTTTATTTTCTACCATTTTAACCATCATTCACTTTTGAGCAACACCATGTGAGCCCAGTACCCACGGTACTATTATCGCCATCTTAATGTATATGAAGGACCAATTAATCCTAGATAACATCGATGGTATAGGGATTAAAACCAGCTATAGTTAGCCCAATGTGACTATTTTTGCTTTTGCATCTTATGAACTGTGAGCGAAACATTGGCAAATTGATAGCAAAGTGCATTGACTGGAACTTGTATGTCCTACTCCTGATAGTCTTGTTATTAATTCTTTAATAACGATTGCCGAGTGGCACTTATTATGCTTTGTAGATTTACTTTGTCTAATTTGAATAGCGGAAAGTAAAATAGGATGCATACACGTACGACGCAGTAATTCTAGTGCTTTTGTGAGTAATGATGAAATATTATTGTCATGTTTTATAGGAATTTATCCACCTCCAATATTTTTGATGAGACCAGGAGAAGTTATGAATTCGGAACGCTTATCAGGTCCAGCAGGACCACCGGCCCCTCCGCCTCCTCCACGTGGAGGTGCGCCGCCTCCCCCACCACCTTCAAACAACCAAGTCGAGGAGCCAGTATCAACGAGGACAATATTTCCGGAGACTTGGATTTGGGCCTTGGCTACCACTGGGTATTAAAAAGAATATTACTTTGCAGCAACATTTATTATAAACAATATTTCAGATATAGTTAATGTATTGTGTGTCGTGGCTTATCATTGTGAATAATTAAGATGCATGTGGACTTCAGCAACCCGTAGCAACATTAACAATTTTTCCAGAATTTTTAGACTGGGTGTTACACATTCTCCTAAAGTGACCAGAATCCGCATCTCCTTCTTCCTCCTGCTATAACCAATTTGGAAGCGCCCGATTAAATACTGAATCACGTGATGCGCCGATGCCGTATCGATGATATCATTTTAACCAATCACATTTGCTCCTAAAACATTTACTCATTGATAAGGTGAACAATTTGAATTGACTCATGGATTTCATGTCTTTGTAACTTATACTAATAGGTTATTGTAATTGTTAAAATAATGAGATCCAAGCATTTATACCCTTTGAATAAAAAGTTACCATCCCAAATACCCATGTGTCTTTGATCGTGGATAATTGGAATGTTTTGAGATAGTATTTGGTTCGAATTGCGACAACGTAAAATCCAGCCTTAGCAGGAAGGTATGTAAGATATAAGTTGATTGGATATCTCAGTGATGCGACAGCGAATCGGATTGCGAGTTCTTAACCGGGGAAATGCTAACCGCTTATCGCAGGGGGGGGGAAGCTATTCGGAATCTCGAAGCCCTGTGATCGGAGGACGGTTGTTACCGTATTGACATTATTTCATTGTTGCATCAGTTTTGAAAGTTTTGGGGAAATGATAGGTGTATGTTTGGCTTATAAATGTAGGGCAAATCATTGTTCAGGTTGGTATAGCGCGCTCAACAAATGTCAGCCTTAATCCACTTTTATTGAAAACGCGATCCAAATTGTCCTAAGGATTCCAATAAAGCCATTAGGAAGTCGAGAGTATCAGCAGCTTGTTTCTTGATGCGTCAGCTCATAGTAAGATGCTCTGTAGGATTCTATCATTCTATATCAATTAACACACGGGCAGTCAAATCTTTCAAAGAAAATCTGAAAACTTTTATTGGTTTTGATCATTTAAGGGTTATAGGAATGATGAAAATGTGTTTTGCTCCCGTTTCTCTCACAGTTGGTTCTTATCTTAGAAGTATTTCTCTTGTTGTGTATTGTAATACTAGTCTGCTACAGCAATTCCTCTTTTGCACCTGTTTACATATGTATATCGAGTGTTGCTAGTTGAATGAATCCATTCTTCTGAACAACTGGTAGAGGGAGTGAGGTTATATGTTGCATATAGACACAGTGACTGTTAAAATAGGTTGAGACCTAGTGAATGATCGTGTTTAATTGTTTAATAATGCTAATGTATTGGCACGTCGAAGAGATTGTAGATTTACGATTATAGCACCATAGTATGTCTATTTTGTCCAATTACTGACTGACTAAACTGCTAAACAACATATAACTTTTCATCGCACTTTGAAACGAGTTGTCATTTTCTGCTAATGAGGGCGAGTACCTGCATGCACGTTACGATATTCCAGACCAACTTAATTTTTCAACTTGAAATTCTAGAGATGTAAGAACAGACATGTGTCAAGATCTGATAAGGTTTTGGACATGCTCGGTAGCCATTTTCTCTTCAAGTGTCTCTGTATCTTCTAAATTACGCTATTTATTCGCTTCAAGCAGTTACCTGAATCAGGTATGATCTGCATGATTGTGCAACACTTCAATGATGATATGCTGTTTATTAAACAACAATAGTGCTTTTGTGAGTAATTATTAAATCTTATGTAATTTTCATGGTTTATAGTGTTTTCCCCAGTTCAGTCGATGAGACCAATCAAGTGGGCCAGGCCGAAGAGACCAGGAAAAGTTTTGGCATCCGTTAAAGGGAGACCAGGACCGATTTCAATTTCAAAATTACCTTCAAAACCCAACCCTGTCAAGACCAAGGAACTCAAGGAGACAGTATCAACGAGGACGATTTTTCCAGACACCTGGGTTTGGACTTGGGCTACCACTGGGTATTAGAAAAATATTAGTTTGCAGCAAAATTGTTTATAAACAATAACTGATGTATATATTTGTAATGTATGTTGTGGCTTTTGAAATGATAACTGTATGATTGGCTTTTCAATGTTGGGACAGTATGCACACGGCAAACATGAGTTATATAACCCCTAGTTCATCAATGTCCAGAACACGATGATTTTGATTATCTTACAGGAATAATTTATCATCATCCTGTGAAAATATAACCTCTCTCTTATCTCATTTGGTTTTTAATTTCTATTCCTGTAGCAGTGAATATCTAGGTACAAATGCCAGGGAAAGGACCAAACCGGTAAAGAACTAGCATGAAAAAGCAATCTCTAAATTGTAAACCTGTCATAAGAAAAATAGACCCTATATATTCCAAAACCATGAAAAGAAATAATATGTACTCCAATGTTATCATCTTATATCGTTGCATGAAGTCATATATTTTCAACACAAGAGTGTCATAGTCGTAAACATTTGAAAAGTATTCGATACATTTTGGCTCTGTTTTGCATTTCTGTTTTGTCCGGTTTGATGCGTTATCTCATAATTTCAGTGTGTTAAAGTAGACTTTTGTTAATGGGTAATGTAAATAAATCACTAGACTATTCCAGTATATAGCCGACCCCCCCCCCCCAATCATCATACGGTCATCTCTATGGTGCTGTATTTTGACTATTGCAACTTTCAGCTGTATTTAGGTGAAGTAGTCATCCATATTAAGTTATACCGTTAGGTATAAGAGGTTTAAATCTGATAACAGATAGTGAACTTTTCTTTTGAGAAGATCACTTTGTTTAAGCTTCTTATGAGTACACATTTTTGGCATGTGTGTTTTTACAACACACCATATCATATCTTGACCAAAAAATGATTACCATCATAAATCATTTCAAAAATGTGTCATACATAGGTGCAGACTGTTCAAGTTGTTAGCAAAGATGTACCAATTTGCATTTAAGTCAACATATAAACTGAGCATAAGTTGACATTTCGTATTAATTCAAAATGATTTTCATGATTCATAGGAGTTTTTGGGGAGATGGCAGAGTCGTCGAAGAAAACAGCTCTTACACCACCACCTCAAATGACTGGTTACTCAAGGGGACTTAAGGATCCAGTACCAACGAGTAAAATAAACCTAGAAACCTGGATTTGTATCTCCTTTATTATCTAGTATTGCCAATGGGGCTTCAAACCGAATTTGTTAATCATCGCCTCAGTTCTCATATGTTCTACTTACATTTTCAGATTTCAGAGTCAAGAGTTTGCCACTAGAAAATATACCTTTCCAGAATTTACATAAGCTTTCTGTATACTTTTTCAGCTCTTATGTTCATAATACCAGATTATGGTTTCTTGTTTTTTGGCTTAAGGATAATCATATAAGTGTTTGTCTTCTTATTATATTTAGTAGCCATATCTGTGTATTAAAGATAGTCAGGCCTGAAGAACACTTTTAAAAGATATATCATTTGTATGTGGTTGCTGCTCTTTGTGATTTGGATTTTACGGATGGATAAGAGAGACTACTACTACTAGGCATTGTGGCATCGATTGCAGTAAATAATTGCAACTGTACATCCTCCAAACGCAGGGTTCCAGACGTCATCCTTTAAGTTCCTTCTTCCGGGTACGAGTTTTTGAGGCCAGTGTTCGGGGGATGCAACTGTATTGCTTTGGTATATTAGTGAATGTTTTGTCGGGCTGTATTAGCTTCGGGAATCTGAGTTACACAATCAAAAAATTATGCTTCTATTTCCATTAATTTTCCCAGGGACAATATCCTTTGTTGACAATTGTTCCCTGTCGTTGTTTCGAACTGGATGATATCTTATGTACTGAACTTTGTAAGTACACCCCTCCCTCTAATCCATTAATTTGAAGATGGACAAATCTCCCAGGCTCTGTTTTTGTTATACCGATTCATTGTGGGTTTTATCGTTGAAATGGATTTTGAAAATACTTTAATTCAAAAAATATTTATTGCAGTTAATACTATACACATTAACTCTTCAGGATTCCAAACACAGGAGTTATATGAAGACATCGGTAACTCTTTTGTAACAGTGAGTCTAGAACTAAAAAGTTCAAATTGCTTATCCTGAGTAGTTGGGAGAGATGTAAGCTATAATTGTTTCTATAGTTTTTGCTAAATCATAGAGTCTGAACGTTTGTTTTCCCTTATAGTTGGTTGTTATCTTAGATTTGTCGTTTTCTACCTGTGTATTGTAATACCCTTTGGAAGTCCAACTTTTCCTTAATAGTTGCAAGAGTCCAACACAAAGCTTTTGGGAATCCTTTTGATATCAGTTTTCACATGTTTCAATGATATAGTTATTATATTACGACTACATATACAAGCAAATGCATCTCAGGATTTGAAAATTGATTTCTAATTTCTTTTGATTGCATTTTGTACTTTTATGGTTTAAGAAAATTGAACATACACTATTCACTTTTAATTTCATATTTATCAAACATGTCTCCTCCTTAGAAATCATTAAAAAAGACTTGGTTGTGAATTCATTCTCATAAATGTGAGCTTTGCAATGCATATTATCCAAGCATGTAAAGTGAGTATTATGTTTGAAGTTTTATCATTTTGTATGTCCAAAGAATTCATCCTCCTAAGCAGGTATTCAGAATCTGTACCCCCTTCTTCCCCCTGTTATAACCAATAGGAAGCGCCCGATTAAACTGAATCACGTGATCTAAGTATGAGCAATGACTTATACATGATTTCTGTCGCAGTGTTGCGACAGCCAATTAGATTGCGAGTTCTTAATCGGGGAAATGCTAACTGCTTACCGCAGGGGGTAAAACGAAAGAATTATCATGATTTTGAAGCCCTGTGATCGGAGGAGGAAAGAATTAAGAATTTTGTAGATTCGAATGCGACTCTAACTGATTTTATTTCAGTCGCCTTCTTAAGTGCATGATGAACAGTTTTACCTAATACTGATGGTTTAACGTTAAAATCAAAATCAGCTATAGAATCCATATGTGACTATTTGGCTCTTACATTTTCAGAACGTTGGTCGTATTGCACTGACTGGGTTTTATTTGTTTCTCTCTAGATGATCTTAATTATCTTCCATAACGATAACGGATTGGCACCTTTCAGAGAACGAAGAATTATGATTATAGTTTGTCCCATTTAGATAGGGGAAGGATAAAATAATTTTTCCATCAGCTGCTACTAATGAACATGTGAATTTGATTCATGCTTTTGCATTCATACTCTACAATCAAAGATTGGCACCTTTCAGAGAACGAAGAATTATGATTATAGTTTGTCCCATTTAGATAGGGGAAGGATAAAATAATTTTTCCATCAGCTGCTACTTATGAACATGTGAATTTGATTCATGCTTTTGCATTCATACTCTACAATCAAAGATTGGCACCTTTCAGAGAACGAAGAATTATGATTATAGTTTGTCCCATTTAGATAGTGGAAGGATAAAATAATTTTTCCATCAGCTGCTACTAATGAACATGTGAATTTGATTCATGCTTTTGCATTCATACTCTACAATCAAAGATTGGCACCTTTCAGAGAACGAAGAATTATGATGATTGTTTGTCCCATTTAGATAGTGGAAGGATAAAATAATTTTTCCATCAGCTGCTACTAATGAACATGTGAATTTGATTCATGCTTTTGCATTCATACTCTACAATCAAAGATTGGCACCTTTCAGAGAACGAAGAATTATGATTATAGTTTGTCCCATTTAGATAGTGGAAGGATAAAATAATTTTTCCATCAGCTTCTACTTTTAAACATGTAAATTTGATTCATGCTTTTGCATTCATACCTTACAAACAGGTACCTCATTCAAATGATGCTGTGACACGTTGATACACCCTCATAAGCATACACTCTTAAAAATGAATTACTTGAGTATTTCCCAAGTATTTCCCAAGTATAAAAATTACTTAAAGTTAAATACTTAGTTTTATTTCATTTTACTTAGGATTAACTTATATTGTCATTTTGAGTTTTTTAATTGCTTAATTATGTAACTGAGTATTACAATTACTTCAGTAAGTATTTCAATTTCTCTCCTTGCACTAGTAAATTCACCATAAACGAATTACTTAAAAATTACTTAAAAATTATTCAGTAGTTCAAGATTATTTAAAGTAATTTTTAACTTAAAATGAGTAGTACAATTTCTCAATATAAGGAAATCCAAGTAATAATTTTTAAGAGTGTATGTCCGGAATCCGTACCTCCAGATACCTCCAGATCTTGATCTTGAAGCTGTGTGATCGGAGAATGCTTTGATCATACCTGCAATACGTAAAACACGCCTCACTATAACTATGTCTCTATATTTACCTCTAGTGTCTATGTAATAATATGATGAAATGTCCTTTTCATGGTTTATAGCGTTTTATCCAATATTTGCAATGAGACCAGAAGCAGCGTTACGGCCAATTGGTCAACCAGGACCGGCCCTACCCCGTCCAGGTGCACCAGGTCCCCCACCACCTTCGAGCAACTCGGTCAGGGAGCCGGTAACGACGAGGACGATTTTTCCAGAGACCTGGATTTGGACTTTAGCTACCACTGGGTACTACAAACAATACTTGTTTTTATCAACAATACATGATTGTTCAAAATGTATTGTGTGTGATCAGTGTGCATGAATTTAAGCAAATCGTATCGAACAGGACAATTTTTCTGATACTTTACTTTGGAAACTTGGCATTTCAGTATTGACATAAATTAATTGGTGCATTCGTTTTGGGAGATCCTTGGGAAGGTATAAATCTACATGTTTGGCTCGTGAACAAGTGCTTTAAAATCCACTCCTTAATGAGTAACAAAGGATCCCAACTGGACATGGGTACCAATGCAATATATACCATTTAAAAGATGAGAGTGTTAGCTTGTTTCTTTATAGTTATAGAAATGATGGACATTCATACAACAACTGATAGTTATCTTACTCTCTTACTTCTTGCTGTGTATGGTAATATACTGGTATTTCCCCCTTTGGCACCTGTCGGCCACCTGTCTGTATATGTATATCAAGCTCTACTATGTATTGTCCACGATATGAAGGGTAATTATTTACTTATTTTATAGTGTAGTCACCATTGGGGTTACCTACTTACATTTACTGAATCTAGAGAGGGAACGATATCCAGAGTCATTGATTTTGAGAGACGGTTTTTTCATAACATTTCATTGAACATTTGAAACTATTTTCAGCAAGACAAATTTTAGTAAATCTTCAGATAATTTAAATCACCATAATGTAATCTCATGTTTTGAGCATTTCATTTACACCAACCAAATCTACACTCATAACATCTGTTTATATAACCCATTAATTTGGGAACGATCTCCCATTGGATAACTTTTCTAAGTTGGAAATGTTATCCGAAAACGTATAACCATTTGGAAATTTCCGACGCCATATTCCATATGATAAATATTAGTTAATGGTCGTCAGGAGAAACTCTGGCTGGTTTTGATCCTCATTTGATCCCTATACAGCATAACGTTATACTGTATACGAAGTTAAATGTCAGATCTTATAGTAATTGTCTGACCCGAAAACAAAATATTTGACACAAAAGTGAGTCATTAATATTCAAAGACAAATGTAAAAAATTGTCGTCAAACAAGAACCAGTCTGCATAAGTCAATATAAAAATGGACATAGTTGACATTTCGTATTCATTCAAAATAATTTGCGAGATTTAAAGGATTCTTTTGGGAAATGGCAGAATTTTCAAAGGAACTTACAAGGCCTGAACCTCCACGTCAAATTACTGGTAACTCAAAGCAACTTAAAGAGCAAGTAACAAAGAGGAAAACGTTTCCAGAAACATGGATTTGGAGCTCCTTTATCACCGGGTATTGCCAATAGGGCTTCCAACTGCATGATTACATCGTTTTGTCAGTTCCAACATGATCTATTTAAACTTTCACAATATTAAGAGTTCAATTTTATGTTTGGTATAGTAAATATGATGGACAATATAAACATCATATTTTTCTAAAACATTTTAGTAAACAAAACGCTTGTGTAATTCAATAATTAAGTTTTTTTGTGGCATGTGGATCTTTATAGAGGTATGGTAATCAATACCATTCGATACTGTTTTACTACCAACTAATCTTTGCTACCAAGAAATACCACAGGGGATCAGTTTTTCGACATCCAGAAAAGCAGTGACATAATTTGAATCCCATGCAATATTTGCCTTTAAATTCGTACAAATGTGTTATGGCTGTCAATAAGTCCATACGCCACTTTTGTTTTAGGTGTCCATTTTTCATTCCGCTGCTGAATTTTGAAATACCAAAAAGGAAAATGATGTCATAGATTTTCATTGTATAAATACACAATTAAGAAAAATATTCAAAATATATTAATACCATTGAATCATCTGTTCAGTATGTATGATTTTTCCAAAAGCGCACTTCATTATTGCATTTTGATTTTTTGTTTCTCCTGTTTCACCCCAGCGATCAAATAGTGTGTGTTATTCATTGCAGTCGTTGTTTTTGAAGAATGTGACTGTTCTTATCTGAGATACCCCCTTTAAAGAAAAATACGAGAAAACATTCTTTTTAAGAAATGCCATTCTTAAGTTTTGTTTGTTGATGACTATGACGTCGGAGCGAAGGGATATTGACCTTTTGCAGTCTTACCAACTTACATACTGGATATTGTCAGTTCCACATTATTTGAAATATGTATTGTATGAATGCTAGTGTCCACATTATTTGTGAAGAGTTGGGGAGGGGAAATTGGACATCGAGTTACATAAGGTTAGATCATAGTTTTGTATATTGAATATTTGTTAGTGGTGTCGCCTCTTATTTTCTCGAATTCGGTTATAGGGTTGTTCACGCATGTACAGCTAGATTAACATATTCACATCTTAATCTAAGTTTGTATTTATAGAAGAAACAGCAGAAATTCTTCAAGGTTGCAACATTGTTTCTATAGTGAATATGGGTTCAATTGGAAATGATAGATTTGTTGCTATTCTTATATTGTCCTTATCACAGAGTTATTTATTACTTAATTACCGATTTTGAATTTTAAATGAACACCATCGTGTACATTATCATCTTCATTTTCAGATTCATTTAAACTGTCAAACTAAAATGTTTTCCGTATTGGTTCTGTTTCCAAGATTTGCAATAAGCACATTGCTTGTTGGAAAACCTATCCCAATATGCATCCAGGATTGCACTATTGAAATATTTATGCAAACATGAGGTTGAATATTTCCCGACTAAAGTATATCCTACATGTAGCTAACGACTTAAGTATTTTTTTCACGAAGCACTTACAAATGTAACACTCGAGATACTTGCTAGTACGAAATAATAAGGTAAAGGCGTGGCATATCAAAAAATGTCTACGTGCCCTGGACTTAATCCTTTAAATGGGATTAAATTTTACGCTAGATCGCACGCTAGATCGCGCGATTTTTAGGTTTTTCGTTTGAGAACCTTGTTTTGTTAATCATGGCAATATCAAATGGCAATGTGGCAATGGTCAAATCTTAATTCAAAGTGGATTTTTTTAAGCCAGGCTTACAGGTGCATGCATGCTTTATCTTGCCATTTTGGAATGTGAAGTCTCGTCAAATATACAAACAAACTACTATATCGTTTGCATGGTTTTCATCTCTTTGTCCAAAAGGTAACCATTCAGAATGCTTATTTCATTAATACTATTTATTGTTTTGGATCTGTCTTTCTTAATGTTCGGATTCTTAAATAAGAATTCAACTGATTGTGAAAATATAGGTTGTTAATTTATTATAGAAAACTTTTAACTTGAAATAAATTGCTCATAAATTTAATGTGAAGTTATGTCTCAATTCTAGATATTACATATTATGTATTTAATATTTCTGTTCATCAACTTGTTTTGAAACTAAATCCTACTATTTGAAAACAGTAATGTTTAAAATCTTGTATGATAATGATATGATGAAAATAGTAAAACCTGATTTTTATTGACTATTCAGCCCTGATGGAAATGCAAGCGTTACTGCTACTGTACCTGATACAATTACTAAATGGGTTGCAAGTGCTTTTGCTCTCCATCCAACTGCTGGACTTGGAGTTGCTCCAACTACTGCGAAGGTATACACTGTTCTATTAAATTAAAATGCTTTTAAATAAAAAACGCAAGGAGCTGACGTGTATCGAACTCACGGCGACAGCGCTAAGCTTAACATGCTCATTGCTCTAGACGTAGACTGAGGAAACATTCATACACATTTTACACACAATTAGCTCGACTGTTCTCTAAGTAAATTAAGAATTAATTAGTGTATATAACTTACGACAGAACATGCTGATTTAGCTACTATACGTTTGTGACATTGTTTCAATGAACTCTGGTTGTAAATTGATATTCGATAGAGTGTCTCCTGATTAACAAGTTTTATTTACTCCTTTGTAATCAATATAAGTGTACATGTATAGTTAGGTACATTGCGTATCTTTTTATTCCAGTTGACAGTGTTCCAACCATTCTTCATTTCCCTGACTCTGCCATATAGCGTAGTAAGAGGGGAGGAGTTTGGACTTATTATAACCGTATTCAACTATATGGATAACGAGACGGAGGTTTGTTTTTGTATAACAGTACATAGCTGTACATTACATAGTATAGTAAAGGTCTAAAATCATGTTCAAATATTAAATATGAGTTATTTAAAAAATTCTTACGTTTGACAATAACGAAGTTAGTGAAACAGCACCGTCAAGTAATTAGCGTGTTATTCAGTAACACCAAAACATAAATACACTCTTAAAAATTATTACTTGGATTTCCTTATATTGAGAAATTGTACTACTCATTTTAAGTCAAAAATTACTTAAATAATCTTGAACTACTGAATAATTTTTAAGTAATTTTTAAGTAATTCATTTATGGTGAATTTACTAATGCAAGGAGAGAAATTGAAATACTTACTGTAGTAATTGTAATACTCATTTACATAAACTCAAAATGACAATATAAGTTAAACCTAAGTAAAATGAAGTAAAACTAAGTATTTAACTTTAAGTAATTTTTATACTTGGGAAATACTTGGGAAATACTCAAGTAATTCATTTTTAAGAGTGTAGATATAGAGGTAGAGGTATACGTCTAGGTAATTCAAACTTGCATCCCAACGAAACAATAAGAATTTCCCAAAGGGCGTGTTGTTCCCGAGCAAAATGAGCAATTCATTGAATTTGAGACTGGTCGTATTTTAACAAAGCCTCTATGACTTGAAATGACGGAATTCTGTCAAGATTATAATTAATGTATTGCATTTATCTCTTAAGGTTACTATCACATTGAAAAGCTCTTCAGAGTTCAAGGTTAAACATGGTAATGACATTGACGAATTGGAGCCAGAAAACAAGGATGTAGTTATCATTGTTATTGTAAGTCTATCTATTTAGGAAATTCCTATGTCTACATTTAGAACACTATGAACAGTAATACAGGGTGTTAAAAAAACGCAACCCAAAGAAATCGCCATATCTTGAAAAATTATTATCCAATTGTCTTCATTTTTTCAGGGAGGAAAGTGTATGTTTAGCTCCTGTTGTTAGTTAGTTGTAAAACATGATGACTTGTACACCTGCTCAAAAGGCAGTTGCACAAGGAAAATACGAAAAACGCGAATTGTAAATCGCTATATCTTGGAAAATACTAATTCAATTATGTTTATTTTTTCAGGAAAATAAAGAAGATACTGTGTATGTATAGCTCCTGTAGTTAGTTGTAAAACATGATGCATTGGACACCTGCCCAAAAGACAGTTGTACCAGGAAAATACGAAAAACGCAGTCAGGGGTGACTACCACATCAATGAAACCTAACAACTTTCTAACCATAGTGTTTTGGCACTTCAGATTTGCCACAAATTATCCTCATTCAATGTGTGGTGAATTTGTGGAGTTTCATCAAAATCACTTCAGGAACTTACAGTCACAGTCAAATGCCTTCTGAAGTCTGCCTGAACCAGGGCGTTTGACTGCAATTTGAAAGCATTTCGACCATAACTACGAGGGGTGATCCAAAAGTCTTGGACGCCCTGCTCTAATTTTGTTGGTTTTTGATAAAATTACTTTAAACTTTCCAATAATAAAGACCAACAACCTAACTACTTTGTGTATTAATTTCATGGAGAAATGATATGTTTTATGTAGTTTTCTAGACAGCTTTTAATATGGGGACCCTGCCACCCGGAACGGTATTCACACATGACAACTTTCAGCCTTAAATGTTGCAGCCATTTGACTTGTTTCGCAAGTCTTGACCACTGTCTTTCTTTGAATTGTGAATGTTAAATCATGTTAGTTTACTTCCTTTCTTACTAGGCAACCAACTAATTGTGTTTTAATTAAAATGTCCCATATGACAATGATCATATCTGTCAAATTCTAAGAAAATGACAAGACAAGCAACCCTCATTCTGGTATCATTTTTGCTCCAAAATGGCTGCTGAAATGCAGAAAATGAAAGAAATCAAAGTGGAACAAAGAATACTACAATATATTTTCACTATTATTGACCTTTAGCAGCTACCATATGCACAATGCAGTCTAGATATGGCTCCATGTGATTTTCTTCCTTTTCTCGAAGTTGAAAGGAGGGTTGAAAGAAAATGTTTTTTTACTCATTGGATGAGGCTTAGAGTGGCACTCCAGCAGCATTTGTATCACATAAGCAATGGCGGTTTCATAAATGTCTTCCATTCATTGGTAAAGCGGTATGAAAAAGGGGTTCAAATTCGTGGAAAATATGTTGAAAAGTAGGTCTTAATATGTGAAGATGATGATGGCAGATGACACTCAGACTGAAAATTGGAAATTCTCTCATATAATGACTGGTGTTAGGTTGTGCACCCGCACCTAAAGTATTTGCCATATTATAACAGTTGTGACGTGATTTGCTATATTTAAATACCGTTCCGGGTGGCAGGGACCCAGTGTTAAAAAATCTTTACCTAAAAGCTAAAATATATTATTTTCTGTTAAAACTTATACACAGAGTTGTTAAGATGTTGATCTTTATTATCTGAAAGTTTCGTGCAATTATATTAGAAAATAGCAAAGTTAGAGCGGGGCGTCCAAGACTTTTGGATCACCCCTCGTATAAAGTTCCTGGAGTGATTTTAATTTCACTTTAGATATTCATCATACTGTGAATGAAGATGATTTGTGCCAAATTTGAAGAGCCAAAACACGATGATTAGGAAGTTATTTAGTTTTTTTGCGGTTGCAGTCACCCTTGACTGGGTTTTTCGTATTCCTAGTGCAACTGTCTTTTGAGCAAGTGTCCAATCTATCATGTTTACAACTAACCAACTACAAGAGCTATACATACACAGTCTCTTCTTTCTTTCCTGAAAAACTTAACATAATTGAACTTTCAAGATATAGCGATTTCTTTGGGTTGCGTTTTTTGAACACCCTGTACCAATCAGTGACATATACTAATAAACACTGCCTAAATCTAAACTGTTAATGCTTGAAATCATCTAATCTGTATGTTTAAATTCCACCAAAGCCTCTAGCGTTTATTTCAGTTTAACAACTTCAAAATTGCTCAAAAACGAGATTATAAACCATAATCGCATAAGACTGATTAATTGGTATCATTTTGGTTCGATATAACAATTTCAGATACCAGCTAACAGTGGAAAATCTGTGACTATATGGATATGCACTACGGAACTTGGTAATATAAAACTAGAAGTAATGGCCCAATCAAACGTTGCTGCCGATGCTGTTGAAAGGACACTTTTAGTTGAGGTTAAGAAATATTACATAAATAGTAGTTTGTTTATGAAACAATAACTGTCTTGCGTCTAGCTCCCTTTTGTTAATATCTTTAAATGATTTAAAATGATTAATCCATTGCACTAATGGCATTGACTAAAAATACATTTTATGAGGAACACACCTAATTTTAATCAAGACAAGGTTGAAATATACCAATCCAATTTATCATATCTCAACATGTCTGCACTTATACATTATTATAGTTTGACCTAGCTTGTATAATATGTTTATTTTCAGCCTGAGGGTATTACAAAATATATCAACAACATGGTTTACATTGATCTAGCCAACGGCAATTTTTCAGAGGAATTTGACATCTCTGTTCCACCAACTGCAATCAATGGGTCAAAACGAGTAGAGATTTGCATTGTCGGTCAGTATCCTCACTTTTATTTCAGCATTATTGAATACATGATATTTTGCAATCTTTTATTTGAAAAAAATTCTTCCCTATGGAGTGAAATGACAATAAGCAGTAATGTGGAAGAAAAATGATGAAATTATATATCAATGTCTATAGAAAACTTAGAACACAATATGTTGTGAAGCAGTTGTAGGAAGAGAAAATATTATTGTTTCATAGTACTTTGATTAGCTTTCAGGATGAACATGATAAATTGAACACATCTGAGTTATATGTCACATCTTCATAACGTTTATTTAATTATAGTACAATTGTCCTGCAAATTGATTTTAAGTTTCAAGTGCCATGGTGGCTTTAATTAAATTTAATCGAATTTATTCTTACAGGAGATATAATGGGACCTGCTCTGGATCCTGAAAAGTTGGGTAAAATGCTTCGTGTTCCCACAGGCTGTGGCGAACAGAATATGTTAGGATTTGTCCCTAATGTTTTTGTTCTGAAGTACCTTGAAGCTGTTGGTCGTGACACGAGTGTTATCAGAACAAAAGCTATACAGAATATGGAAATTGGTATGTCAAATATTTATAAAAAGTTCACGTCATTTTTGTATTTTTGGTTGTTTATGTTTAAGTCTGGCTTAGACCTATACATATGCACAGTTGCCATTTTTGTATTTTTGGTTGTTTATGTTTTAGTCTGCTGGCTTATACCAATACATTTGCACAGTTGCCATTTTTTGTATCTTTGGTTGTTTATGTTTCAGTCTGCTGGCGTATACCTATACATTTGCACAGTTGCCATTTTTTGTATTTTTGGTTGTTTATGTTTTAGTCTGCTGGCTTATACCTATACATTTGCACAGTTGCCAGTTTTTTGTATTTTTGGTTGTTTATGTTTAAGTCTGGCTTAGACCTATACATATGCACAGTTGCCAAAGGGGTTGAGTATCTAAAGCAGCAGAAAAGCATTCTGATACCCATAGCATCTTTCTGGTTCACCTGAAACATCTCAGGGCTGAGGGGAAATGAGATGTCATGGTTTATCATGATGGCAGAAAAGATTCATGTTAAAGCACACACCCTGTCATACTGAATATAAATCCGATAATCCTATGCACATTAGAGCGAATTTCGAACGCCCCATAACTCATATCAAGTTAAGGTGAAGCCCCATAACTCATATGAAGTTAAGGTGAAGAAGAGAATCGCCACAAACCAGTGTTGGCTACTTACTAATATTGCATTTTCAGACTTCCGAGATTGCAAAGTACACGAAACCATGACTGGATAATTATATATTACGAAAATGAGTTAGAGTGGAAAAAGCAGCTTTTTTTGACAGTCTGTCAGTAATTGTCAATTTACAATTATAAGTTATATCGTATATTGCGTATTAAAGCCTTGATGATCTCTTTTTAATTTTTTGTTTCGTATTTCTGATATTCTGGTATCAGTATCGATGCTTTCTCATTATGGTTTTTCTAAATTGTATCTTTTAAATGTAGGTTATCAAAGAGAGTTGAATTACCAAAAGAAGAAAAGTGATATTGGCTCATTCTCAGCATTTGGGGATCATGACCCAAAAGGCAGTATGTGGTAAGATCATCATTGTTAAATACTCTGCAAGATTCTAAATTACTATATAGAAAGCAGGTGTTTTACAACACATAGGTTTTTGGCCGATAAAAGATGGCAGCACCAGAATCCAATATTCCATACCATCTTTATTTTTGATTTATTTTTCTTATTAAAGATAATTATTTCTATCGACCTTAGCCTGAACTGTGTTACATAAAATAACTTAACTGAAAATAATAACTTAAATCTTTAAAAACAACTGATTTGGAATTTTCCATATAGGTTGACAGCATTTGTCATCAGATCATTTGCTCAAGCGCGTCGATACATCAGTGACGTCATAGATGATGAGAAAATAACAGCTGCAATGGCGTGGATAATAAGTGAACAGACTACCAGTGGGGAGCTTAAGGGTTTATTCCCAGAGCATGGAAAAGTGTGTCATAAAGCTATGCAGGTATAATCTGTTTTTGTACTGTTCGGGGATCAAAAGTGGCTTGTACCTAGATGTTTAATCTTCACATCACAATTTATCTTACTTTTTGAAGATACATACATGATATCTGCCTTATTAAAACGCAATATTTGTTTTATTAATCGCTATTTTGTTCTATATTTTGTATTGGTACATGCTATGTACATAATGTAACCTGCTATTAGTGGTGGTATGCTAAAAAGTGAAATGCTTAATCTTTAGAATCAAGTGGATTAAAATGAGGAAACGATAAGGGCGAGGAATTCCGTTGATTGTGCGGTGTTAGCGTCTTATGGTGTTCTGATATGATGCTAGTTATTTTAATTTGTGCCGTTTCAGGGAGGATCCGCTTCAAGTGTAACTATGACGTCATATGTCCTATTGGCACTCCTAGAGAACCGGGATATTGAAGGGGTAAAGATTGTGTCCTACCATATCTATATCATAAGCACTTAAAATGTGCCAGACGAAGTTCGAATGTGATAAAGAGAAGCCGTCCTCCTGTCCGTCCCTTTATCCATCACTACGTTATCTTAAATGCCAATTGACGGATTTCGATTAATGATCTTTGTTTTCAATTTGGCCGCACCATTTATCAGCAATCTGCTGATGCCTATGGATAATGGGACCTCTGATCAATAAATTTTTAAGCAGGCCACTGAATTCAAAATTGCTGTTTTTGATTCAAATTTAACGGTTTGTCTCTCTTATTGGAATAAGGTCCCTGTTTTATGAAGTATTTCCAGTATAACTCCTCAATTCAAAATCGCCGTCACCCTTTTGCTAATAAAACTTAAATTTTAAAACTAATATACTCCATTTGTCTGTTTATATTCAGATTTCATATACTGATGATTTCTGAATTCAAAATAGCATATATTTTTCTCATAAAATGTTAAGTTTATACCTCAAGTTGTTTTCATCTCACATATATGTGGTAGATTTTGCAAAAGGAAACACTTCTACCTTCTGGTTATATAATGTTATGTTCAGACCGATGTGTGATCCGCTAAAACTCGTTTTGTTGGGTGGGATTTAATGCTCCACAGAGTTGCTGTTTACAACGTTTTATTCAATTTAGGCTCCGGCGAAAACTAATACTGCTATCGACACAGCAGTTGGATTTGTAGAAGGCCAAATTGATGAAACAGAAGATCCATATGCGTTGGCTATCATGGCGTATGCCTTACGTGTGGCTAAGTCATCTAGGGCACAGGAATGTGAAGACAAACTATGGTCAAAGCGGACAGCAGGAGGTAGAATGTGTTTTACTTTATTTAATTGAATCACGTATGAATAAGGTTAATATGACGAAGGTCAAATAAGCGAAATTAATGTTCCGAGTCTTGAAACATCATTGAAGGTTAAAATTGCATCATAACCTCTTTAGCAGTGATGGGGAAGTAGTGGAATATTGCAAGGGGGATTTTGAGCTTTTTTATTTTATTATGTGAATGAGTTCCCTATCATACAATATGCAAGATGTATAGTATACTTTGATAAAAGTATACTGTTTGAGGAACTGAATTAAGATTGCCTCAAAATCGTTCATAATAACTATTACATTTGCCTATATCTTAGGAGGTATGGTATACTGGAAACCAGAGGGATATGAAGAACCTCCGCCATGTGATCGTAGCCGAGGAGGTTGGTGCCCTTATCATCGCCAAGCTGGAGCTTCTTTGATCGAGACTGCTTCGTATGCCCTACTTACATTTGTGGCCAACAATGACCTGAATAGAGCATTAGGCGTGTTGAGGTGGCTGACAAAACAAAGGAATTCCCTGGGAGGATTTTCATCCACTCAGGTATACAATGGTCGCTACAAAGTACAGCATATTGGGAGGATGGTATCTCAATACGTGACAAAATATGACTTTTCTGAAAATAAAGATCTAGAGTCATACGTAGGCTAATAAAAACATAAAGCATAAATATAAATATAACTATAAAAGACACAAGACATATAAAACCATAACCAGTCATACCAGCCCACATCATTTTTCTTTTAGCACTAGAAATCGATTTTTTATATCAAATAAATTCCAGGACACTGTTATGGGTTTGTGGGCACTATCAGAGTTTGGAATCATGGTATCATCCGGAAACCTTAGTATCGATGTGTCTGTCACAGCAGGGACATTCACTCATAATTTCAATACGATCACGAACGACAATGCTGTCATTCTGCAATGTGTTGTGGTATGTACAAAAAACACGTAATTTAAGATTAAAGATTAGCTCAAAATTTGTAATAATTTACGTAATCTGTTTCCTTGGTTATTAAATTTTAGTTACTTACTTTTAAAATATTAACATCTTGTTTTTACTAAATTGAAAATTTAATTTTAGATTCTTTTAAGTTAGAATAGAAGAATTTCTATATAATCAGATACATAAATGGATTACAATTGCACTTTCAGCAAATATGACGAGAAAAATTGTTCTTACCTTGTTGTTACCTGTTACATGTTGCATGTCGTAAAATCAAATTAGATGTAATAAATATGAAAGTTGTCTACAATCGTATTTGAACAGGAGGCTATTACGAGGTTTCAAACCTATGTTGCAAAGCCTTTTTATTGTAACATGTATTATCAGATGTGTCACCTTATGTTTTCTAGATTCCCCCAGGCAACGATGTGGTTACAGTAAATGTGTCAGGAGAAGGCGCTTGTCTTGTTCAGGTAATATTATATCATAAATGAGAACAAACTAGCATATTCATAATAACTAACGAGTAGAAATGTAGTGTAACGGGTACACATGTAGGGTTTAAAGAAAGAATATATTTGTAGTTAGATTTTTGGCAAAGATACTGCAGTTATATATATAAATTATGTCACCTTTTCAGGTATATGATATAATTCACTGGATGTTGCTACTCCTAAAACGAATAGCTATAACCTTAATAGATACTCGTTATCATTTTTTCAATAAGTGTTATGCACAATTCAAAAAACATAATCCATTGAGCTTAAGTTACATTAAAAACAAAATTACGGGGAAAAAGGATATGGTACTGCAAAATACAAAGGGTTAATCCTGACCTGTTCACACAGTTTTGATGTTTTCCTAATAATTTTGTGGTAGGGGAAATCTTTCTTCTGAATTTTCTTAATTTTGAGTCTTATTTGTCATTTTAATTTGCAAAATATTTCGGAACCCCGTGTTCCTTTATTGCCTTTTCCATTTCAGTTCTTTGTAATGACGTTATCCATCCCGGTGTAATTGTGAATGATCTTTATACTGGGTGGTCCAAAAAGTGAACAGGCTATATTTCCCTTATTACCTACAGGAATCCTATCATATTTTCACATGTTGTAGAGGAAGGTCTAATTTTTTGTTAGTACCATACATTTCTCTTAGTCTTGAAATTTGCAGATATTATAAACCCTAACCAAACATCACTGAAAATTGATAGAATGTGAACGTCAACATTTGCGATTCTTCAACCCCTTAACAATCTTCCTATGGAAAACGTTTTAGCTGCTGTCGGGAAAACGTAATGTTTTCTGACTTTGTTTGGTTTTGAGTCTCGCGCATTACGGTGCAAAATTTAGCATCCCACCTCTGTTAGTTGCAAAGATATTGTGATCCTAAGAAATGATCTAAGTTTCCAAAGACGAAAACATCTTCCAGTGAAATCGCAACATACCCTGTATGGTCTTGTAATGTCAATATCTTCATTAATCATGGACCAATTCTAATGAAATATGGCTCAAAACACTAAATATTAGATATACTTTTGATTTTTGTAAGATATTATTATGAAGTGCTTCTCAGATTTTTTTAAAGACCATCCGATCTGTTACAACAATATCCATGAATCACATTCATTGGTAAAATGTTGCACACTTTTAGGAATGTTTGTTTAAGTCTTGTAATTTCTTCAAAATTCAAGAATGAGAATAAATTATGGCATCAACAAAATTTAAGACCTTTCTCTACAAGATGTGATAATGTAGGCTAAGCCAATTCATGCATTCATTAAGGAAAATGTAGCCTGTTGCAGGGGTTCATTTTTTGGACCTCCCTGTACATGATAGGAATAATCCGAAACTTCTGTAGCTTTGACATCAAGAAGGGAGCTCTCTTGTAGTGATAGCCACCATGTATACAGTTATAGATACAGTTCAAGATATTAGGCTTATGATATATAGGATTGCAAAGTTCAAATACTCTACATTTAACAATGCTAGACCAGTGTAACCGTTGACTTTTATTCCAGGTTTCTCTGCAATACAATGAGCAGGAGGAGATTGTCAGTGAAACGGATAAAATGAAACTTACTGTCACTACAAACCAAATAGATGTGAACAACATGATTGTCGAGACTTGCGCTAAGTATATTGTGTTTTATTTATTTACATGTATTTTAGATGGAATCGTCATGTTTTACATTGCTATATGTCTGTATTCGATAATTGAAATACGTAACACTTGTAAACTTGGTTGACGGTCCATAATTACTGTGAAATATACGATCTGGGGAATACAGACACACTTGCAAGAGTACATGGTCCATGGTCACAATCGGACCATTATCCCAAAACAATCGGGGTTTTATAATTTGAACAATAAGTTAGGTGACGTGTAGTGGAAGTCAATGTCCGTTATGCAAACATTCTACTTGATATGTTTTAAATCATTAATTAACGATTCAAAAGAAAATTTTATTCTTATGTGATTCTTATTGCAAAACATCTAAACCTGATGAAAAGATACAGAGAATAGTATCAATTCTCTCATTTTGAAGATATCAGACTTAGGTGGATAACATTAGGTTTGAAACGATAAATACTTCACTGTTTCTTTGAGAAGTATTTGAAAATAAGATCAAGATTTGATAAAAGCGTTGATGTCGAAATCTTTGTGCTTTCTCAAGTTGAAAAATGTATTTATGATTATAGAATTGCTAATGCCCAAAAGTCTGACTGTGTAAAAAACATACAATACTCCATATTTTCAGAAATAAAGAGGACGGTCTAACAGGGATGTTTGTGATTGAGATTGGAAGTCCATCGGGTTATGAACCTAACACTGAAGCGCTTGAACGAATGATTTCAAAGGATAATGTGCTCTCCAACGTTGAGAAAGATACCAAGGGAAAGAAAGTAGTCGCGTATATGGATCAGGTTTGTGTTCGCTTTTTATGGTGTATTGTGCTATCACATAGTGTCTCTCTATGAGGACGCTGCTTGGTTATAGAATATATTACCAATAAAACAAATAAAACGAGATGCAACGGAAGATGAAAAATTGAATTGAATGTTTTCATACACATCATCTTCATTTCTAGCTGCCCCAGGAGGAGTTGTGTTTAATAATTAAACAGGAGCGTGTAGCACCGGTTGGAAACCTACAGAAAACTCCAGTAAAGGCTTACTCATATTATGATCTTGGTATGTGTAAACTGCATCAAACATATCATTTAAAATGCATTGCATTTTCACAAATGAATGTCAATAATGGTCATAAATAAATCCAAATGAGCCCAGGTTTAGTAAATTATCGAATGGGTGATGTATTTCTAGAGGGACTTTATTCCAGCTATCTAACACAAATATACATTTCGACTAGTTGATCAACAATGTAGCAATATCCTCATTTCAAAGGGCAGCATAGTGAAATGTTGGTCCAAGGATCAGAGTCTGAAATTATGCTATAACTATCATCAATTAAAACTAAGTACAAATTCGCCCAGGTCAGGGCGGAAACAACCATTATGGGCCGCCATTATTGCTCCAGCCTTCTAATTAACTCGAACTAATACCCTGGGAACAGGGCTCGCAAGACAGTGATAATGATATTAATGTAACCTACAGATTATGACTGATAATGTTCAGCTTGTTAAACTTTTGAAATCAATTCGATCAAAGTTAAGATAAGAATTGAAAAAAGGACACCTCAATTCATGATCGGAGTAAACTCTTCAATATACCAACTAAATTTCAGTTTCATCCTTTAAGATTTCCGTTCATGGGACCAAAATCAAAAACGCAAGTCAAAAATGCATGTTCCTGACATTTCAAAATAATGCCCTTCGGTGTTTCACTTGAAAAGGTGATCAATTAGTACTCCGACTTCTTGCACAAATGTTGTTTCCATGGACTGATTAAATTCGGTCAAAGAGTCAACATCAAATGTATTTTTATAAGCGCATTTAATGAAAGAATCACAGGATATGATTCCATAAATGTTGTGACACGTTTCAGCACATTAATGATATAGTATATACATTATATATATCACTTTAATTTTAAGACAAAATGGTCGAAGTTATGTACGATCCAACACCAGAAAAGGATCCTCACCCCTGCGAACTATGTCATGATTGCAAAGGATGTGACAAGTGGAGACGAAAACGACTAGAGCGTTTAAGACTGCAATTTGCGACTTGTAAAGCTAAGGAACGTAAATTGGAGAAAAATATTGCTAAACTATCAAACAAGGTCAAGGCATTGGCAAGGAATCGGAATAAGGCCAAAAAGTTGAGTCGAATGGAAAAAAAGTTGAATACTGCCAGGGATCGGTTGAAGAGGCAACAAGAAAAATGTAGCAAATTGGAGAATGAAATAAGCGCCTTAGAAACAAAGAGATAAAATGAATCAAATGTCTTTACACTTCTCCTTTTAACTCTTGTTATTGTGCAAGTAATAAATTGCTTTAACAAAGCAGCCTGTCTTTAATGTTTATTTTTTTTGAATCAGCCAAACCGTACAAAATTCTAAAACGGTATAAAGTTACACATTATGCCGTGTCCCGGTGTTTAAAGTGTGATTCATAGAACTAATATGTGAAGTCTATACGAGTACAGTCTGCAGTTTTAAGGTTCAAGTTGTATCGCAAATAATACAGAGTGATACAAAATTGTCATCCACTTAATGTTATATGACTGAATGTCTTAACCTAAAAAATTAAAAATTCACAAAAGCTAGGATAAGCTGATTTATCATGTTAGCAAATAATCAAACTGCATCGACTTAATTTAAATGCATGTCAGCATATATGTTGTTTTTATGCATTTGCATTTAAGAGAACGGCGCACTGTTTATTGAAGTGGAAATTGACATCCTAAGTAACCCAAATACATTACGATACGTAACTTACACAAGATCTATAGACTTGGACACAAACCTCTTTTGAAAACAGGCAATTACTTGTAAGTGTACAATTTGTCAAGCTTCAACTAAAAGACGGGAACTCCCCGTATTAAAATGCAACAAAATATGATTTCCTGATTGTCAGATTGTGATAACTTGTATTGATATGACTTTTATTGGATCCTGTAACTGCTGCACCTAGCTCCTGTGGGCTAATCTAGACAAAAACACGGATTGTATATCAGATTAATATATTTTATGGCTAAACTAGCAATGATTCAAACAATATCTCAATATTTTATCGCTTAGACATGAAAAATATACGATGTATAAGTATTACGTATCATTATAAATTTAAACTATTCTTAAGTAATCGGGGATGGGAATCGCGGCGTAATTAATCGTTTAATCCTCCCGACCAGACTCACATGCAATTGTCAGATTCTGGCCTATCCCTTGAATAATTCATAACTTAAAGGTTGATTGGCGTTTTTGCGCTTTTCTTGTTCCAATAGGATAACATCTAACAAGCTTTCGGTATTAGCAACATCAAAGTTATCCTAAAGGTTTATGAAACAAACATGTCAGTCGATTTATCTTGTATGTGATTAGGTTTAACTCACATATCAGTCGGTTTTACTAATATATCATTCGGTTTTACTAATATATCAGTCGGTTTCAGTCGATTCAACTAACAGATCAGTCGGTTTAACTTACGTGTCAGTCAGTTTTACTAACATGTCGGTTTGGCAAAATAAAAGCATAATATTCGACTGCACATGTGTTTACGCATGATGTTTACTTTCCACCATAAAATTTCATCGTGTGAAATGATACGTATCGATAAGCAATGTTAAATGGTTATGATGAGTCTGGTCACTCTGGTGTAATTTTCTAATGGTCGTCACATTTGCATCAAAGATGGTGGACGGGAAGTGTCGATTTCGATATTTTTAGTTTTCATCGCGCTCGGATTAAACTACTTGATCGTTGACGTAATGCTTTGATATTTAAATAAAATCCCACTTATATGACATGGGAACCATGGAGTATGATAATTTGTTCATATATCATGCGTAGGCGCCACAGTTCAACTGTAACTTCCACCGCTTATGGTAACTGGAGATGTATGATACGGTAACGGTCATGTTAGTTTTCAATACCAGGTGACTGAACATCTTAGCTCTCCATTATCCATAGCCATTGCCAATCAAGGATTAATTCTTTTGCATCAATATGTTGCATTTTGACACACAATTAAACCCTTCAAGAGAATAAGTACCTGTAACTCCTTCAGGGGTTTTAAAGATATTCGTTATCGGTGACCAAAATTAGATGAAAGCAATGTATCGCATGCATTTTCCCTATGGGAAAATAACATGGGATATATTGTTTTCCAATTTATCAAAGAGGAGTTACTTATTCCATTACAGGGGTTAACTGTGTCTGAAAATGCAACATTTTGATGAAACAAAAATTAAGAAAGCAGGGGTGGAAGGGGTTGAAAATCAGGACAACATTTTAGAAAAACATGTGGGTGGGTTGTTTTCATCTTCCCTGTCTCAAAGTCAAAATTATTTCATCATCTCTATGAGTGCCTTTCCTGGAGATAATCCTCAGAAAATAGCCAAAATCCAACATATGACTGCCCCAAATCTGTTGCGATACTTTCCCTCCTCATTTACATGAGACCGGAACGTAGTATATCAAGTGTTGAGTATTTTATTCTTTATCTGTATATTTTTGCTCATCGATTCAAGAAGATTTGTCATTTCTTTTATTTACATGGACACATACTGAAATACATTCGAAAGTCCTGATACAGTAGTTAATATCTTCGAACGAAAGGAATAATTGCTAACCTTGGCATTTTAATTTTCTTATTTTTAGAATGAATCTTGTGTATAATATAATATAGGGTGATTTGAGCCCTAGGGAAGAAATTAAAATAATGATTTTTTAAATTGCAAATGCATGTAGTCCAATGTGAGGTGGGATATTATATATTTTTAATGCAGAATTCACGTACAATTAAATGATCTCATCCATTATCTTGAAGATGATTTTTACTTTGACAAATATGATAAAGATTTTCTGCAATTGAAAATGCATGTGGATACATGTGAAAATAATATACATGTAAATAAATGTATATGCATTTTGAATACATGCCATACCCTTTTCTTGCTACTTGTAGGACTTACAATTAAATAAATGTATATACATTTTGAATATATTCCATACCATTTTCTTGCTATTTGTAGGACTTACAAGTAAATAAATGTATATGCATTTTGAATATATGCCATACCCTTTTCTTGCTACTTGTAGGACTTACAAGTAAATAAATGTATATGCATTTTGAATACATGCAATACCCTTTTCTTGCTATTTGTAGGACTTACAAGTAAATAAATGTATATACATTTTGAATACATGTCATACCCTTTTCTTGTTATTTGTATAGTAGGACTTACAAGTAAATAAATGTATATGCATTTTGAATACATGCCATACCCTTTTCTTGCTATTTGTAGGACTTACAAGTAAATAAATGTATATGCATTTTGAATACATGCCATACCTTTTTCTTGCTACTTGTAGGACTTACAAGTAAATAAATGTATATGCATTTTGAATATATACCATACCATTTTCTTGCTACTTGTAGGACTTACAAGTAAATAAATGTATATACATTTTGAATACATGTCATACCCTTTTCTTGTTATTTGTAGGACTTACAAGTAAATAAATGTATATGCATTTTGAATATATACCATACCATTTTCTTGCTACTTGTAGGACTTACAAGTAAATAAATGTATATACATTTTGAATACATGCCATACCTTTTTCTTGCTACTTGTAGGACTTACAAATAAATAAATGTATATGCATTTTGAATATATGCCATACCATTTTCTTGCTACTTGTAGGACTTACAAGTAAATAAATGTATATACATTTTGAATACATGTCATACCCTTTTCTTGCTACTTGTAGGACTTACAAATAAATAAATGTATATGCATTTTGAATATATGCCATACCCTTTTCTTGCTACTTGTAGGACTTACAAGTAAATAAATGTATATACATTTTGAATACATGTCATACCCTTTTCTTGCTACTTGTAGGACTTACAAGTAAATAAATGTATATGCATTTTGAATATATACCATACCATTTTCTTGCTACTTGTAGGACTTACAAGTAAATAAATGTATATACATTTTGAATACATGCCATACCTTTTTCTTGCTACTTGTAGGACTTACAAATAAATAAATGTATATGCATTTTGAATATATACCATACCATTTTCTTGCTACTTGTAGGACTTACAAGTAAATAAATGTATATACATTTTGAATACATGCCATACCTTTTTCTTGCTACTTGTAGGACTTACAAATAAATAAATGTATATGCATTTTGAATATATGCCATACCCTTTTCTTGCTACTTGTAGGACTTACAAGTAAATAAATGTATATACATTTTGAATACATGTCATACCCTTTTCTTGCTACTTGTAGGACTTACAGGTAAATAAATGTATATACATTTTGAATACATGCCATACCCTTTTCTCGTTACCTGTAGGACTTACAAGTAAATAAATGTATATACATTTTGAATACATGCCATACCTTTTTCTTGCTACTTGTAGGACTTACAAATAAATAAATGTATATGCATTTTGAATATATGCCATACCCTTTTCTTGCTACTTGTAGGACTTACAAGTAAATAAATGTATATACATTTTGAATACATGTCATACCCTTTTCTTGCTACTTGTAGGACTTACAGGTAAATAAATGTATATACATTTTGAATACATGCCATACCCTTTTCTTGTTACTTGTAGGACTTACAAGTAAATAAATGTATATACATTTTGAATACATGTCATACCCTTTTCTTGCTATTCGTAGGACTTACAAGTAAATAAATGTATATGCATTTTGAATATATGCATTACCCTTTTCTTGCTACTTGTAGGACTTACAAGTAAATAAATGTATATACATTTTGAATACATGTCATACCCTTTTCTTGCTATTTGTAGGACTTACAAGTAAATAAATGTATATACATTTTGAATACATGCCATACCTTTTTCTTGCTACTTGTAGGACTTACAAGTAAATAAATGTATATACATTTTGAATACATGCCATACCTTTTTCTTGCTACTTGTAGGACTTACAAGTAAATAAATGTATATACATTTTGAATACATGTCATACCCTTTTCTTGTTATTTGTAGGACTTACAAGTAAATAAATGTATATGCATTTTGAATACATGCCATACCTTTTTCTTGCTACTTGTAGGACTATACCTTCATACCCTTTTCAAGTGATAATTCCGTGGCGCTAGATTTATTTACATTACTACGGAATACACTGTTGCTCATAGATATATCGGTGTATCGGTATTGTCATTTCTTCTGAAGACAGCTCAATATTTGTGAAATCTTCCATTACAGTTGCTATGCATTTAATCTCATT